TAAATATGTAATATATATATATATATATAGTATTTACTACTGCGTCAGTAGACTTATATATATATATATATATATAGAAAGTAATTTTAAGTAAATCTAACAAAATGTGTATAATTTTCTACTATTTTCATAGGAAGTGACCACTTCCTACATATATATATATATATATAATAGCGCTGGTTACAACGGTCAGCGAAGATATATATATATATATATATTGGTTATCGGAGGTAAGATGTTGTAAAATATATATATATATATATAGCATGTTGCTCTCATGCACTTGCCTATAATATATATATATATATATACAGTGGGGTGGTTACTTTTCACAAAGGAATATATATATATATATATATTATCCGAAATGCGTAATTTCCATACCAATATATATATATATATATAATGGGATATGAAACGTTACTGAGGAATGATATATATATATATATATAAAGATTTTTCAAAGGCAGTACTGCCGATTTCAGATTGCTTAATGTAGAGCGAACGAAACTGCAAATAGTCAATAAATATATATATATATATATACTGTGAAGTACGTTTCTTTCTTCGGCTAATATATATATATATATATAGCTGCAATGTAGTTTCTTGTCTTCTTAAATATATATATATATATATATGTGTTAAACATAAAATGTTTATTTGAAATATATATATATATATATAACACAAGTTGCAAATATCACAGCCGTTGATATATATATATATATATACAATTTACCTGTGCTTGCGAAAGCAGCTATATATATATATATATATAGGTCTGCGCATCTAACGGCCGCACATTTATATATATATATATATATAAGCAAGAGATATGTAGAACACGTGGAAAATATATATATATATATATAGGCAGCTGCACAGGTACATTTATGTGGAATATATATATATATATATATTCTTTCTATTTAACGATTGAAGAAGCCATATATATATATATATATATAAAAAAAAAAGCACGCAGGAAGTGGCTATATATATATATATATATACTACTTCTAAGATCTCTACAACAGAACAATATATATATATATATATATTACTTGTTTTATGAATCCATCAAATTCATATATATATATATATATATTTCAAACATAACAAAAGTGTCATCAGCATATATATATATATATATAATTTTTTCCTCGGTTCTAATTTTATTTTATATATATATATATATATAATCGTATATTAACATGACCGAGGACAAAATATATATATATATATATAAAGTATAAAATTGAACTACAACATATATATATATATATATATATATAAAATAGGCCGATCAGAATCCTTGTGAGAATATATATATATATATATATGGTTGAGTAAGACAAAGGCTGTCAAAGATATATATATATATATATACACAATCTTCTCTAATTCACAAACTGAAATATATATATATATATATATCAATACTTTCGCTTTTAGTTTTTCAATATATATATATATATATATAGTGAAATGTTGACTGAAATCCGGCCAAAATATATATATATATATATAATGACGACAACAACAACAACAACAACAAATATATATATATATATATAGAAAATTACAATGCTTGGGCCCGCAAGTAGCTAGGGCTATTCGAGGCGGGCATAAGAGAGGAAGATAAAAAAATAATATATATATATATATATAAATGAGTATTTATATGTATAATTATAATATATATATATATATATATAAAAGAAATCTAGTTTGCCATGTGGCTTAATATATATATATATATATAGGGCAGACTGTAGTATATACTGGAGGTAATATATATATATATATATAGAGTTGTACTCTAATATCAGCAATTTTTATATATATATATATATATATTGAGAAATTAAAAAAGTTTTTCCTTTAATATATATATATATATATATTTTTAAAGTGTTTTGATAGGAAGTGGAATATATATATATATATATATGCCAGAAATAGAGAAGGCTCTCTTCATATATATATATATATATATATCAACATAATAATTTTCATCGGTAACAGATATATATATATATATATAGACAGAAGCCAGCTTCGTGAACATATTCATATATATATATATATATAGATTATTRTGGACATCGTGCATTAAAGGATATATATATATATATATAAGAATGATATCGGCAACTGTCTAGTTTGATATATATATATATATATATGAGCTCTTGGATCAGCGAAGAATATTAATATATATATATATATATAAAGATGCGCTTCAGCAGTGTGAMCCCAAATATATATATATATATATATATAGGGTGAGATTAAAGAACGGTATAAATATATATATATATATATAGGAACAAAATGTCTGAGCTTGGCGATAAATATATATATATATATATATTTCTGACAAATGTAATCTACCTGAATTATATATATATATATATATACAATGAGTAAACCAAGATATCTAATATAGTCTTTCATTTGTAACAGTTGACTGGTGCTTGAATTGCTATTTACCAATATATATATATATATATAAAGGAATAGTCTTTTGGCGTWAGCGAAAATATATATATATATATATATCGATGTTCAAGGTTAATTTATTGACAGATATATATATATATATATAGTTAAGTTCTTCGTTAATCTCTGATTCAATATATATATATATATATATTGCATAAATTAAACTAGTATCATCGGCATATATATATATATATATATTATTTGAAGACATATATATCATTAATAATATATATATATATATATAGAATGAACGAGAGTCGGACTCACAGGAGATATATATATATATATATAGACATGGCCGTAAAACTCGGCTGCTGTTACTGATTTGGCCTTCCACTCAACGCAAGCTCTTCGTTCTTCACTCGAATATATATATATATATATAGAAAGACTTGCTTCACTTTGATGACCTGATATATATATATATATATAACCTCGATGTACCCCAGTTATGCCAATTATATATATATATATATATATCCTGTTTTGTTCTGATCTGTTTTTGTAATATATATATATATATATATGCATATTTGAGTACTACTACCGTACGTATATATATATATATATATAGCATTAAAGCCTTCAACACCAGGACAGTATATATATATATATATATATGCTCGCGCTTTAGTTACGTTAATTCTGATATATATATATATATATATCTCTGTTTGGTTCCTTTGTTGCTACTGATATATATATATATATATAATTTCACTTTCAATCAATCAATTTTTTTATATATATATATATATATACGGGACAGTCCATTTCGTTCTTCGTCTCATATATATATATATATATATTAATTCCGGGGCTTGGCATGTTTACAAATATATATATATATATATAATTGCTACTGGCCGGTTCGCTTTATCCGATATATATATATATATATACCAATGTTTTAAAAAATATTTATCTTTTATATATATATATATATATATGACCAACCACAACCTATTCTTAATCATATATATATATATATATATAATATGGTTATCAGTGACAAGAAACTGCTCGAAGATACCAATTCACTCAGATTTCACACATGTGGAAAGCCATGAAATATATATATATATATATAAAATTGCCTGAATGATACTTGAGACTCCATATATATATATATATATATATGTTAAAAAAAGAAGTTTTCTTCAAAATATATATATATATATATACGGACAGAGACAAATGCCGCGATAGACAATATATATATATATATATATAAATCTCTTATTCTTGAGTTTATATAGATATATATATATATATATACAAGAACTCAAATTAGCTGTCAAATCTTATATATATATATATATATAAAAGGAAGACATCAGTTCCGAAACGTTCATATATATATATATATATATTGTGCAGTCATCAAGTTTAAACCATTCATATATATATATATATATAAAATTTACATTCAACTTACTGTCAACCAATATATATATATATATATAACCGTGGTACATGAAGCCACTACACCTTATATATATATATATATATACACTCAGTTCACAGCSTGTRTCACYCGAATATATATATATATATATACMTCRGATAGCTTTGCCACAATTGATTGATATATATATATATATATACCGTCTGGTGGAGTGGCAGGCGAGAAATATATATATATATATATATATGGGACTAACTGTCAAACGGTCGCCTTTATATATATATATATATATATTATGTGCCATTCCTTATTTTCTGGAAAATATATATATATATATATAACAAACAAAACATTTCCCTGTTTTGTTTATATATATATATATATATATCTCAAAACTATACAAAGCACCCAGCCTATATATATATATATATATATGGGCAGTGAAATTCCTTGGCAGCTAAAAATAAAAATACACGGCGCTTGATCTCTATTGAAGTTTACAAATGTATATATATATATATATATATAAACGGATAGAATTATTGATTTCTTTTGGATATATATATATATATATACTTGGTTTGCTAGTTTGTATGTTTTGTTATATATATATATATATATAACATGAATAACAGTCACTTTTACTTTTTATATATATATATATATATATCCAAAGGGAAAATACTTCAAACCACCGATATATATATATATATATAAGCACCACAGATCTCATCTTATGCATGAATATATATATATATATATAGAAGATGTCACAACAACGTCTTTTAAGAATATATATATATATATATAGAACTTCGCAGGAGTTCACGACGATATCATATATATATATATATATAAGTCGATGTTTCAGTCGCTATCGTTGTCTTTTTTTTTCGGTAAAAGACAAATTACGGAGCAAAGTAGGTCAGAGGATATATATATATATATATATACAAGGTGTACTATCTGTGTCTTTTACATATATATATATATATATAGAATTTAATCAACTACATTGTAGGTATTATATATATATATATATATAAGGATTCTCCTGAGAATGAAAAAATATTATATATATATATATATATAAGTGACATTGGTCAGATGCTATAGATTTGCATTTCTTATAGTAAGTGTATCAGGAGGCTCTCAATGGGTTGAATCATATATATATATATATATAAATAATGTAGCTGTTGGGCGTAAGAATTATATATATATATATATATATCGTAAAAAAGATAACCGTGAAAAAGATATATATAT